CCTGTCTTAGTGGGCCACGGTGCGATATCTACAAACTCATTGAGCCAATTGATCGCTATGGCAACACTCGCAGGATTCCCTTCGCTTCGATCATCTCTGAAATTTCGCGTATGAATGAGTTACATACCGAAGTACTTCGATAATCTAGAGACATAAACATAAATAGCGACGAATGAGGAGTCGTCATCATTGTTTTGAGCTTCAAATGTTTTGAATCAGATGGATTTATCAGAATTTTCCGGTAACGCTCGCTTGTTACCAATGACGACTGAACGAAAGCTACAGATGAAAAACGTGTCAGTGATTTTGCTTACTTAAAATATAATCCTGTGTTTTTGGTAGAATCAGCTGGTGCAGGATCTGTTTTAGGTAAACAATCGCTTCCCAATGCAGCTATCGCATCCTTCTCGAGTTCGCAATCCCATGCCTAAGTTGTTATTCGATATGTATTGAACAAGATCTATTTTTTATCTAACTATTGACTACTATTTGAAGTAGTCGAGTATCAAGCCAAAACAGCTGCAAAATTTTTTGTGCACAGTCTAAGGAGTCTAATAAGCCTAATTTCTAATGCCTTTGGATTTTTGACATAGGTCGATTTCACTCGAATCAATGTACTCACAAGTTTGTTCATGCTTACTGCTTCTGGAAGATCACCAGCAGTTATACCTTCCTTTGCCAACTTCTTTCTTTTATTATTAATAACCTTGAGTATGTCATTGATAGAAGACTCCCCGATTTTGCCACCATTGTCAGCACATAATGCTGTAAACGGTTATAATCGAATTATAGCATTGTTGGCAAAACTAACCTTCTGGAGAGGCTGAAGGCACTACTGCCTAAATAAAGAATTTGTCGCTGTCTAGAGGGCTTCACAGAAGGTGGAGAAATTTACTTACCGTCAGAGGCAATACTAATAAGAGGAACATTTGTAAGATTTCTGAGATGCGTGAGGTTTGCCCGCTTTTATGCATGCTCTGTGGGCGTAACCGCACATTTACGTAATCTTGAACTTTCAGATATCTGTTTGATTT